CATTGGAACAACATACCCCCCCCCCCCCTCCAGGTTCATCCGGCGATCCAGCCTGTGTAATCTACTACGGAAACATTGTCCGGAAACATTCATCTAAAAACAAAAACCCAAATACTAACACTGCCTTTACCGTTAAATGCGGTAAAGACAGTAATTGAATTACTTAAAATCTCCCCAAACCCTTATTTCGACATTATGTCGGTTTAAAAATTTAATTAAAGACAGTTCCCTGAGAGGTTGAGTGGCTCTGGCCTGATTGTACGTAATATTCGTTCGCCGGGTCCGGCGGTCCAATCTGTGGAGCCTAGTGTGGCCCCACCGTGGTCCTATGGCATTATCCATTTTCCTGCAAAATATAGAAACTAACACTGCCTTTACCGATAAATGCGGTAAAGACAGTAATTAAATTACTTAAAATCATCCCCCCTTATTTCGACATTATGTCGGCTTAAAAATTTAATTAAAGACAGTTCGGGAAAAAAAACTCCTTATCGTCCCAATCCGAATCCGGATCTATATTGAAGCAACGGTAGTGAAACCAATCATCACATCAGTCACAACATATCATCGGACTGCCGTCATCCGGTTTTTTTTACAAATACAGTAAACGTCAGTGTCCCGGTTATCGACCGGAATGGTCATGTTTGATTCCGATCTCCTACGGAATCTCAATATCCACGGCGGCAATTCCCTATCATGGCAAGACTTTATAGGGTCGTGATTTAAAACCGTTTCGCCCTTGCGCGTTTTGATGCGGAACAAATATGCGCGGTGTGATTACTTGTGTTATAACCCCTGGGCCCTTCCACGTAGGAGATAATTTGCGGCTTTTGCCCTTTTTGGTACCGGTATCCAGGACATAAACTGATTCGCGCGTAAATCGTAACCTCTTTTCATGCGCTCCTGTCTCGTATTCAGTTTATCGCGGGCCAATTTATGCGTTACAATTAAAGCCTGTTCAAGTTTTTGATACGAACTAATCTACGTCCCCAGCGTTCTCAACGGATGAACTGTACATAAGGTCAGCGGGATGATTGATTTCTCGGCCTAACATTAGTTTATTAGCCGTATAACCTGTTTGTCTATTAACACTAGACCGTAAAGCACTCGCAAGTTGCGGTAAATAAATATCCCAATCATTTTGACAACCGTCTATGTAACACTTTACTGCTTCCATAAGCGTGCGATTATAACGTTCAACTTGTCCGTTAGATGACGGTCTATAAGGGGTAGTGCGACACTTATGAATTTGTAATACTTTGCATAACGCAGTGAACAAATTGCTTTCGAAGTTTCTCCCCTGGTTCCTAAAAACTTGAAACGGACAGCCAAAACGCGAAAAGAATTCGTTCACGACTGCCTTGGCAGCATTCGACCCATATCGAAAACTGGTCAACCATCATCAAGATATACTCATTACCCGTGACTGGTAACGGCCCTAAGAAATCTAGGTGCACAAATTTCAGTCTTTAATTCTTCCAGTACAACCAACCGAGTGTCAGACAAATTACTAGGTTGTTTTACGCGAAGAACACCATTATCCAAAAGAAATTAATTACGGTTAATCCAGTAATGTTTTAACGCTGGTTTTTTTTAAGGTTAAATCGCTTTCTTCCGGTTCGATTCCCGTATTCAGCCAAGTTAGAATAATCTCTATAAGTCTAGATCATTAAAAATACATTATGCAAGAGCTAAATCTGATTATTGCAAGTCTTTATTTAGGCTTCAGATATCATATAAATTATAAATTAGATCTTTATTTACACAACAAGCACAAAATTAACTCTGTAGACCCACGGATAGCTTGAATTCAGCTTGGATTTAAACGGGATTTCGTTGACTGACTTAATTTTAAATGGCGTAGTGTGCGGAGATTAACCGTTACGTTGACGTCATACTCCCGGATCAAGGCTAAATGATAGAGTTTACGAAGCGAGGCCGCTGTTGAGCGATGCTTTAACAAATGACATCTAAACTATTTAAAGTGCAATAAACACAGATAATGACAAATTATACAATTCCTGGAGACCGTGTGATGACTAATACAGATGGACAGGTCTTCTGTCTTAATAATATCAATACAAATATTTTTATTTCCACAATAGACTTGACGCCACTGGTGTATACCTATAGATTTATCATAATTGTATTATAATATTATGTCCTATATTCAGTTGATTTAATGCATGCCCAAACTACAAGTAAGAATAAAAATTTACCCTCTCACTCATTTTGTCCAATTGTTATAAAAATCCAAAAAGGTAAAACACAAATTCGGATATGATGACAAAACACAGCAGAGATTATGTAGGTGGAGTTAACGCCTGTCAATCAAACGATCGGACATACTAAGAATCGGTGAAGATGGAATTCAATCCCATTTCTAGTCAAAAATTACACTGGTGACAACTATGTTCAGAATAAAGTAATTTGACTGAAATTTTCAATATATTCTTCTTTCATCATCTATTTTTGAACTGTTATAGCAAGAATGGCTAACTCCTTATAAAAATCTCCGAATATGTATCTTTAATAGAACGGTTTTCAACACATTGCATACGAGTTTCCATTCCTTCAGACTTGGGCGAAACTGTCTCTTTATATTGGGGTGTATTTACCGCTCTTACACGAGTAGACTCGTACTCTATGTTAGGACTACGCGTCTCACGACGGTCTGTACGACCAAAAATAGCAATAATGTTATGCTTGTACCATTTAATCGCTTGAATTACCCCTTCAAGTGTTTTCGGGCGAGAATTACAGGCATATTGTCCAGCCTCTTTATCATAAGATCATTGATAAAAACAAAGAATTACTTGACTTGTTACAGGTTCATCGGTACAATCCGTAAAGGCGCGGGAAGTCACTGACAAAACTATCAGCCCAATCGTTCAACTTTTCATCGCAAGATTGTCGCAAATTATGAAATTGAATCATAGACGTTTCGGGTAAATCCTATTACCAAATCTACGGTCTAACTTAGCCATCAATTCAAAAAACGTCATATTAGTACACCTAGTGGAAACTATGGAGTAATACTCGCTGGCTTTGCCTTACAGGCAAAAACATAGTTGATCCCGACACTCCTGGTCGCAAACCTTGTCTTTGATCTTGTTGCAGATTACTATTCATATAGGTATTTCTAGTTGCACCGGAGAGTGGCGGTGTCGCTTCCTCAGAAAAGTCGAAACAACAAAATAAGGATGCTGACAAATCCATAACCTCTGGAATTTGCATTAATTCTTCCCACAGGCCTCACGGGTCCCCAACAATTTATCTGTATAGCCGCGGGACTTACGCCCAGATTCAACAATTCATCACGGGTGCACGTGTTGACTTTTACCTTACATGCCATAATGTCCCGTTAAACCGTCGATATTAAGTTATAAACCTTTAAAGGACGATATTGGTGCCAGCCATTATCACATATGTGATAGAGCTGGTTAAACACATTCCAAATATAATTTTAACACAGAGATCATTGCTACGATAGCTGAGTAATACAGTTTTCCAGAATCGGAAGTGACGAACGCCAAAGGAAAACACGAGTCGTCTCTCTATATAACTGACTGATGTGACGAGTGATAACGGATATACGGGCGAATTTCTGCTCACTAATAATTCATTCGAAGACCAAAAGTTGTATGAGATTGTGAGAGGATATCTATTCCCTATGCAATACGGAATTTATTCACCCGAGAATAAATGCAATAATTAATTAGCCACGTTTACTTAACACTTGTTTAACCCTAAAGACGGCTGCTCTGAACACAGCGTGCAGGTAGCACGTGCAGTCAAGTGTTAGGCCCCCAAAACGCACGTGGACTGCTACTTGTATCAATTTTTCAACAATGTGCTAATGAATTGTATCCGGAAATGCGAACACACGCTCACAAATACAACCCTTCGCACTTAGATTGCCAAAAACAATTAGATAAAGGAACTAGTAACTTTTATTTCGAATATCGTAATTCCCTCTCCCTCTATATTTTGGACGAATAATTTAAATAAATGTCACAATTAATTTAAATGTTTAACCGTACTACCAAATATAGAATTTCCAGTCAACTTGACTGTCGAGTAATGTCTGTAATTAAAGTAATTCAATTACCGTAATTAATCTGTGATCTGTTTGTCTCTCTTGTAATATGGCTAAAACAAGACCCCCTAGGCGGTCAATCTATTTATAGCCCAGCGTAGTAATACGGGAACTATGTTGTGTAGCTTGGATAGGTTTGGTCTGTTATAGACCCGGCTACTGAACGGGACCCCGTTCAATAGACACCATATGTGTTACGGTCATCAGCAAAAATACAACATTTACAACAACTGACTCTTCTGCTTTAGAGTCCTTATTAGTATTTGCGGTGTCACCTTGGCCTTCAATACAAGTATTTATATCAGAGGGACGAAAACCTTCAAAATCGCCCTCATCTTCAACAAATAAATCGTCCATATTCTAATCAATAAATGATTCAAACAAATAATTTGACACAACGTGACAAATGACAGCAATGATTTCCAAGTTAACAACTTCGATGCTGTAAAATAAACAATATATCGAAGATCACCAACTGAAGATCGTATTTATTAATATTACATTACGGTAAGTACTAGAAAGCGATTAGCAATCACTAAAAAAATATAACCAAGTACATAACTACACAACTTGTAGCACAGTCAAGATCTGAACGAGAAATAAGACAATTGTTGTCATTCACATGGTGTTTGGGTCATAGGTCACATATGTACGTGCAGTGGATAGATACTTTTCTTCTGTAAAGTTGAATTGTTTATACAGTCTATACGAGAATTATGCAATGTAAACCGGAGATGCTCGAAGGGCATAATTATAGTGGAATATAATACTGGTTACCTATCTTATAGACCGACGGCTTTCACTTGTTTGTTTACTCTCGGTACAAGACACGCGTTTAACATCTAATAAAGCAGTTGAGGAACCCACTACTTCTGTTGTAAGCATATTTTATTGCACCAGAACATAAATACAGTTCAAAAGGACCTTTCGATACCTTCTTTACATAAATTCTAATTGACAGTTATAATAGTGCAATTGTAAGAGAGACAAAGAAGAGAAAAGAAAAATGGACCCACAACCATGCGTAACCCTGAGGACTCGAAATCAAACCCACACATTGGTCATGTAACCACGCTGCACAATTTGGGAAACCAAACTGAACCACCTGACTTAATGGCAGACCTTATAACTTAATGCCACCCTACTCATATCATGAGATACATCCAGAATAATAGCAAGGTCGCCCACACTGAATTTTAATTAGTGAAAGTAATTCATCTGATGCCCACGTCTTATTGAAAATAATTCGTTTGGAATGCCAAGTGATCCAACTGAATCTGATTTGTCATATAAACAGAAATGCTCAGAGCTGACTGATCGTTGCGATGACATTGATGGTATCTTTTTAATCCAGAACAGGAGGTTCTCCCCTCGGCTCCCTTCGGCATTACACAATATCTCTGAAGACAGCATGTCAACCACGACCTCATTATAGTGTAGGCGTATAAGTTATTTTTCACAACAATATTAAATCCTGCCTGAAGTTCGCTTAAACCGTGAAATAAACAGGGCTTTGTATTAAAATATTCAAATGTTTTACTGAATGTGTGATTTGGAATTAAATTATTGTAAAAGGGATTATAGATATAGCTGATGCCAGATCGTTTCACTTGATTGAAGACACGGTTCAGATCTCCACTCGTTAAGCGAATTGAAGCATCCATGTACATTGCAAACCCATGTTGATTTAACACTTCCTGAAAAATACAACAATCTGTATACTAATATATGCATCAAAAACTGGAATGGAGTTTAACGGCCTACTATTATCAAACAGCTGGAATCAAGTAGTCCAGTGCTTGGTTTATGGGTCTACATTGTGGACTATTTCCCTATTATCGTATTTCTTGTCGGTGCAGTTCTGTTTTTAAAACCTTGCCCTGATATAAATGGTTCCATTAGAGAAAACCAGCATTGAGGGTATGAAATGATAAAGAAATTTTAATTTATGCTCTTATAGTATAAAGTGGACGAAAATTACTTGATATGACTTCATATCTGAGAACCCCCAATAAATTACACGGGACACAACTCTAAACTTATCAAGTGTACCCCCCCCCCCCCACACACACACACACACACATTCACACAAAACAAAATTGTGTCGAGACGCCCCTGCCTCCCGAATCAAGTACGCTTTCTATGATCCGAGTTTGATACCTTGGTTATAGTTTATTGGTTAAAGCTTAATAAAACACACAAAAAAAAACTGTCTTTATGAATGTAGTAACGAATGGAAGTAAATGCACACTGCATCATCACTACCCAGCGGGACCATTTTATTCACAATTTAAAAATAAAGACATTGGTATGCACTTTGGTCTTGACGCCAAGAGATAGAACACACAGATGTTTTGAATAGCTTCAGATCTTCTGTATTCCCAAGAATGCCTCTAACTGATTCACTAAACCATGTTCAAATGGAGTCAATTAGAAACGAATGACACAGGAACATTAAGATCACCTTGCACCATTTTAGCCCATTAGGAATCTCTTGCAAACTACAATTTTATAAACGGTGAACCTTTCAAAGAAATGTCAGTCCAGAAATGGTTCAATTCTGTTTGATATTGACAAAGTTATGCTGAACTGAAACTTCATTGATCTATAATCTTTGCTATGTAATAAGGCTGTCGCTCATTTGTTGTCCACGCATGATTATTGATGGGTGAGCCTATTTAAATTCCGATTTAAATCAAGCCAGGGGTTTATCAAGCGATTGTAGCTCGTGTTTGTTTTCTTCATTTACACGGGGAAGTCAATGTACGTTACACAATCATAATCAGTTTAATACCCCCATTTTGAACCAAGAGAATATATATAGTAGTAGTAATTTCGCCAGGAGAGAAGAGCCAAAGTCGTTTTCAATATTAAAAATAATTCAATAGAATCTAAACGAATTACGTTTACGGTGGACAGTGATTACTTAAATCTCTAAACATTAAGAAACCCGCCTAAATTAATACCATATAACCATACCTAAATAACCAATATCATAAAATACAAACAGAAACACGAGCTTTCCAGGCTGAGATTACGTGACTCGTGAATAGCAATATGGACGGACAAGGATGGACAATATTTCCCAGCTTACAAAATAATACTTGACTTAGTTTTGTATCTCAGGATACTATTTTCTCAATCGAGTGACAAGGACCATCTACCATAAAACAACTAATGAGCAAGCAAGAACGGGTAATTCCCACCATAGAATCATTAAACTTTCTGAATGAATCTTACCTGTATAATGATGGGTTTCCAGGCACAAGTATGAAGATATTTTATGTGATCTGGATATTTAGTAAAGTTAAACTTCCTCAATTCACATCTTCCATATTTAATTATCTGAAAATATATTTATTAACCTTCTCCTGAGCAAAGATTTATCGCAGCGCTGATATAGAAAATCATTAGGATCTATTCTCTCTTGCCTCTAAATCTTCAAGTGAAGCGGAGCCACGATGGCTAAGTGGGTAAGACGCTGGCTCGCTAGTTTGGAGTTCGCGTAGTCGATCCCTGCATTGGCCGAAGAAGTCCATCTACATTTTCCGGCGTGGTTTCCTCTTGTCAGCAGTGTAGGACGGAGGGCAGACAAGGGCAGCTGTCTTGTTCTAATGGGACGAAGACCCGTGTATACATTAACATGCTCGTAAAAGATCCCTTGATAGTTGGAATTTGATATAATAGTAGGCCGTAGTGCCGCTGTCCGGTTCATTGAAGAACAGTAGGACCTTAAATTCCATTTTCATTTCATTTCAAGTGAAGCGAAAGTCTAACAATAGCATGAATATCTAAAACTATATCATTTATGTATAAAATAAATAGTAACGGGCCTAATACCGAGCCTTGTGAAACACCACCTACAATACGACCATACTGGTACCAGGTGTTATTTAATGTGAATTGGAGTAAATAATACAATACTTACCACTTGTCTTTCTCGTTCTGTAAATCCTATATCGTATAAAATAACTTTTATATCAGGATAAACTGGTCTTATAACAGTATCAATATTATGCATCATAGCTTGCATCTCCTTGAAATGATTAGACGACGCACATGTCACAATTACAGGAATATCTGGAATATGAACCTTAGGGTCTGGTAAATCAGGTATATAGACGTCACCGGATGTTGTAGTCCTCTTGGGATATCCCAGACCATACAGAATATCTTCAACGTCCTCGGTCGTCTTCATGTTCAGTAATCGTTTCATGCTGTTAAGTTTGTTGGTACTAATATAGTCTGGGCAATGTTTATCATGTCCGTAAATTTTCCCTAAAAAAATACAGACATATCAGATCTCTAGATTGAAGTATTGTACTGAAAATTGGCGAGCAAAGCAGATGCCAATTTCGACACCCACATTGTCCAATGAACGTTGTAATTACAATGTGTAGACTGTTGTAACAAAGGGTGAAGTCTCTGCTGTCCTTTTTGACCTAACTGCTCTTACCAACATCAATATGATTATTGTTAAAATAAGCTACCTTTAATTTATTTATTTATAAGTATTCAGCTGTCATCATAATTCTTTTTATTCAATATCAATAATATGTAACTTTATACCTCACCTATAAATTGGTTAAGGTTTCTGATGAAGTCAGTTCAGTTAGTTGAGTTGAGTAGCTCAACACAGAACCATGGAGGCAGACGTGAATTAAGACGATGGCCGTAAAGATTACAATATTATCAAATGTATTGGTTGTTATACATGTAGTGTAGTTTAATGTTTGTTACCGTCTTGCTGAATTAAAGAAGTCCAATCCACAGTTATTATCTGATTATGTTGCACCTTTTAAACGAGCTACTGGTGGATCGATTCGTGGCAGAACAACATGATTCATGTTATTCCCTATCAAATTAACATAATATTCTTTTTAAAATAGTGTAGTGTGTTTACTAACCTTCGGCGACGTTCTTTCCTCCCAATTTCATGTAAGCTTCTGTTCGGGTTGATTTCTGAAAAGGGCCAGAGATCAAGTTATAACTGATCATTGAACAGAGAGGCGAAGAGAGAAGGGCCGTATCAGTTTAACAGTGTATCTATATCTCCCATTTAGTTTCAAATAATATGAATGCAATAACAAACCATATGTACCATATATTCATTGTATATATGCTGGCGTACTAACCAGAAGGTCTCGGGTTCGCTCCCGGATTTTGTCGGGCAAGTTCCCCAGGATTTCCTGACGTGGTTTTCCATTGTCAGTGGATATGTCGGAGGACCTGGAAATTCAGTTGTAATTGTAAAGGTGCGCGACATCCATACAGTCTCAGTTTCAAACATAAGCTTAGTTTTCTCCGGGTCCTTCGGTTTTCGCTCACTGATATACACCCCTCCGCATAAGCGAATGGTTGAAATAGAAATAAATCACGTGTTTGTCCCGATATGACCTAATATATGGCGAGGGGATGCTAAATTCCACCCCTCGCTCTCAAATACATCCAGGCATTTTCTGCCAAAATGATCGATGCAATACACGGAACCAATGAAATGTTTTTATAGGGAATATTTACATTAAAGGAGCCACATTGCTAATATTTGGGACCTAGAAATTGACCCAAATGGGTCGCAACACATATAATACTGTAATCTGATTGTATATAAACTTATTTACATTCAATTGTTTCCGTTTTGACTCTTAATTTCAAATCAGTTATGTCCAGCGAAATACGGCATGAGTCTCAACTGAATCGCAATTTCTAGCGTCTGGTTATTCCAGTCTATTGCACTTGCTCTCCAGATAAGATATGGCGTCACTGTTTGACAGGAGTTGTTGAATGTCTAGCCTCGTTCTTTCTGGTCACTTATTGCAAATGACGCTGAAACGCACTATGGTACACGATTCGTGTACCAATGGTAAAATGGTTATTTTGTCTTAAATATTGGATATCAGAAGCCTGCCTTTTCCTGGTAAGATCACAGCATCAGTGTTGATTTGAATTGACAAATAACTCGTATTTTCAACGTGCAAGACTTTGGATGATCTTGAGTTAGAAACTTGGCTACTTTAAAAGTCGAACACTGTATGAAAATCATATTAAAAACAACAGGTAAAATAATCTGAAAAGTGAATCAGGAACAGTTGGCTTTTTCACGCCCAAAGTTCAAATTGGAAACTAATTTTGGCATTGGTTGACATATATAATTAAATATATGAAAACGTTTATTGGTCGGATTGGACGAAAAACCGAGGTCCCGTGTATCCATTGGCGAGCGCGTAAAGGAACCCCTGACCGTGAAATTCGATATAAGAGTAGGCCGTATAGTTCCGCTGTTCCAACAAAATTTCCCTCATGGCACACTGTATGGCGTTTGCCCGTCTTCATTATTCCAGCCGGTACAGAACCGCAGGACGTTAAATGGATTATGCAAACGAACTGCTAGCAGGAGCACCAATCATTGTTTAAAACGCTTCCGGGTTTCTCAAAATAATGCAGCTCGTTTAGTCACTCGATCTAAATAAACTTGTGCGACTCCATTGGTTGCCTGTTGAAGCTAGAATTGACTATAACATTCTGACAACTATCCATAAGGCCATGTTTCTGATACTGCGCCACAGTATATGCGTGGTCCTTTTTTCATTCACTACTACTTTGCGACAGAACTAGCTATCTTCAGCAGATAAAACATTGATTTCAGTTCCCAGATATAATAAATTGTATGGAAAATACTCTGTACTAGTTCGGGGGATCACGTGGATAAGTGGGTAAGAAGCTGGCTCCCTTATAGACGGGACGTCGGGTGTTCGATCCCTGCATTGGCCGAGAAAGTTCATTCAGATTTTCCGGCGTGGTTTCCCCTTGTCAGTGATGCAGGATGGAGGGTCTGACAAGGACAGCTGTCTAGTCGTATGGATGGGACGAAAAACCGAGGTTCCGTGTACACATTGGCGTGCACGTAAAAAAATCCCTTCGCAGTTGGAATTCGATATAAGAGTAGGCCGTAGCGCCGCTGCCCTTGCAAGATTTCCATAATAGCACACTGTATGGCGTATGCACCTGTTCGTGGTGCATTTTTATTGAATGATCTTCCTCAACAGATGCGCTCGACAATTCTATTTCAAGTTTTAAGACAACACTATAGACACATAAAATATTTGTGCAAGATCAAATAGTTGAACTTACTGAAGCGCTTAGAAATGGACAATAATTATTTCACTGAACCAAACTATATATTTATGGACATAGAAGCATATGATTGATACGATAACACTACATACATGCCTAACAGGGGGTCCAGGGCCCTGAAAAGGGCACAATCTGTGTTCTGATCATTTAAAAAGAAAATTCTACCCGCAAAATATGAAAATACCCCCACAAAACTAGGTAATTTCCAGTTTAATCCTTTAGTCGTGTGTCTGGTTGCAACCTGCGACTTCACAGGTGCAAAATACTATACATTCTAAGCCACCCCTAGTGCAGCTACAAGCAAGCGTACTATTTGGGGCGTCACTCGTGCATCCTCATTTGATGAGCCATAGGAGCAATTTGACGGATTGTAATGTTCTCAATTTAGTCTCCTTAACCCAGCAATACAGTTCTGGATCAAGTTCTGGTGGATTGCGATCTTCCAATGAACGCCACACAATAGCATGGTGGTGACATCGTTTTACTTTCCATACGAATGCATCATTCGTTGGAGCAAGACTACATGGTTTAAATGTGGATGATGATATATTTTCAGTTTAGGCGTCGATTTGCAAGGCGCTCTGACAAGAATCACGTTGGTGGGTATGGACATCTAAAAGTCATCATCCCCACTCAAACATGATAGTCTTGCTCAATGAATGATGCATTTACAGGGAACGTAAAAAGAGCTCATCAACAAGCCATTGCTGGGTGAAGGATACTAAATTGATAACACTACAACCGGCCAACTTGCTCCGGGGTCTGTCATGTGTCACATCAGATGCGGATACAAGAATGACACATCATGCAGTACGCTTGCTTGTAGATGCACTACGGATGGCTTTGAATGTACAATATTTTGTGCATGTACTGTCTTAGGTTGCAGCCAGAAACACGACCAAAGGATTAAACTGAATATTGCCTAGTTTTTTAGGGGTTATTTTCGTGTTTTGTGGGTAGAATTTGTTTGTTTAAATGTTCACAAAACAGCTTGTGCCCCCCTTTATCCAGAAATATGTAGTTTGTCTCTAGACATAGTTTGGATTGGTGAAATAATGGTCCATATTGTCTGGCATTTTAGATTTTACTATCATCTAATCACCCCACAACATAATGAATGATTTCAGTTTATTCCTTGACCCGAGTAACATACGTTTAGACCCAAAAATTATCGTCCTAGAATAAATACTATGGGAGTTGTGGGGGATTATTTGAAATGGCGGTCGTCTTGGACGCCATTTTGAATTTCGCAAAACGCTCAAGGGTGACCGGAGTTCACCCGGCAGGTTCTGAAAGAAGACACCATAGGTTACTAAAATCCATCCTAAAGAACTTTATAGACAATTTCCAGATTCACTCGAAATGAGGTTTGACGACCGGACAAACTGCTTTGATACCGAATAAGCGGGTTTGACGTGAGTTCTGGTGTCATAGAGAACTAAGAATAAGCGGGCTGAGAACTAGTTTGTTTTTGTAACACTGACTGGACTGGAATTCAATCTGGTGAGTGAAATTCTATCTGCACTGTACATGCACATGAGCATTAGGAGGGGTAACCGAAATGTCCAACCGGTGAAGCCGAGCAGCCCGATTGATTACATGCGATCCCTGGGTGGTGAGCTTGACAACATCCCCACCATTATTTAGGTTATTTTCGCAAATTATGCACGTATCCATGGCGAAATACGACTATTTTCACAAAATTAGCAAAAAAAAGTTTCAAATATCTGGGGAAAACCCAGAATGGATTCCAAGCCAATCACTAGATTGGATTGCAGTCCAATCTAGTCAGTGTAACAAAAACAAACTAGGTCACAGCCCGCTTATTCTGAGTTCTCTAAAGCCTAACTTATGTCGCGATAAAACTGACGGAGACTCGAAATCGGCGACTGGTTTACGATCAAGTGGAACAGATCAGTTGTGACCTGAGCGCTGTTACGACTGGTGTAAGTCGGACGGCAACCAGTCGCCGTCCAGTTTCTCTTTAGTCGCACATGTTCTACTCTTACGACTGGAGACAACTAGTTGTCCCTAGTCGCAAGCGACATGAGCGCACCTACGACTGGCTTAAGTTGGCGCTTCGCTGACAGCCAATAAGAGTCACGTGGTACCCAGGGGCGGTAACAGCCACGGGAGACAA